TAGGAGTCTCCAAGACCCCAATACGGAAATAGTTAGGTAGTGTTCAGTCCAATACGAGGGTTAAAAGCATCTTAAAAAACAGTAAACCTTTTTCGTAATATTTAAACCATGTAACCCTTTTTAAGAAACCAATATTTGAGAATGGGAAAGATTGCTCACTGCTTTCTATTCTTTCCCTGAGCCTTTACTGCAGATTAGCTACCTACCTGAGTCAACCTACCATTGTTTGACAGGATATTATAGGTTTCTTTAAAAAGCAAGGAGGAATTATTTTAGATTTTTATATATTGCAGTGACAGAACTGTGAAATATCAGAGGGGTAGCCGTGTTAGTCTGAATCTGTAAAAAACAACAGAGGGTCCTGTGGCACCTTTAAGACTAACAGAAGTATTGGGAGCATAAGCTTTCGTGGGTAAGAACCTCACTTCTTCAGATGCAAGTAATGGAAATCTCCAGAGGCAGGTATAAATCAGTATGGAGATAACGAGGTTAGTTCAATCAGGGAGGGTGAGGTGCTCTGCTAGCAGTAGAGGTGTGAACACCAAGGGAGGAGAAACTGCTTCTGTAGTTGGATAGCCATTCACAGTCTTTGTTTAATCCTGATCTGATGGTGTCAAATTTGCAAATGAACTGGAGCTCAGCAGTTTCTCTTTGGAGTCTGGTCCTGAAGTTTTGGTGTTTCATCTGCTTGCAGTTCACCTCCAGCAACCGTAGAATACCGATGAATATAATACTCTTAGGGTATGTCTACACTACCCATAGTGATCCATCTATCGGGGATCGATTTATCGCGTCTAGTGTAGACGCGATAAAATCGATCCCTGATCGCTGTGCCATCAACTTTGGAACTCCACCGCAGCGAGAGGCGGAAACGGAGTCGACGGGGGAGCGGCAGGGGTCGACTCGCTGCTGTCCTCATGGCCAGGTAAATCGACCTAAGATATGCTGACTTCAGCTACGCTATTCGCGTAGCTGATGTTGCGTATCTTAGGTTAACCCCCCCACCCCCTCAGTGTAGACCTAGCCTCAGTATGGACCAAGTAATTCTGAATCTAGAAAGTGAAGTAACACCTCTTTTAGATTTGTTTTTAAAGTTATATATATATATATATATATATATATATATATATATATAATCCAGATTGAACATGTGTAAGCACAAAGTAAGGGTTGAGTAAGGCCACAGAAAACAAAATCCATCAAAAGATTCAGGAGGAAAGGAAACAACACACACACACACACACACCAACAAAATAAAAACAAAAAACCAACTTTCTTCCTTGAAAGACAAATTAATTTTAGATTCCTTGTCATATAAGGAAGAACATTCCACACGTTTGTTCCCACTGGACAAATTCCTTTTTTTTTTTTTTGTCAACAGCGACAGCCTCCTTAGTTTCAGATCTATTCCATGCCTTTTAGAAGCAATATCTAGGAAGATGAAAACTAGAATGCCTGTTTTTCTTATGTGTATACCTTGCTACCAATAAGTGAAAAGATGCAACAGCCAACAGTTCACTATTGATTTTTCTTTATTTAAAAAGTGCTCTTGAATCAAATAAACTTTTTGCTAAATCTTTACTATTGCTGCATCTGCTCTGAAACAAATACTATGAGCACTTTAATGAATGGATTAGAAGATGAGGGGCTTCTAAAAGTTAAGTTGAGCTTTTATCAGCAGGAGAGAAAAAAAAAACAGTTTGTAGTGGTAATGAAAATGGCCCATTTCCAGCTATTGACAAGGAGATATGAGGAACTGGGGGGGGTGGGGAGGGGAGGGAATAAGCATGGGGAAATAGTTTTACTTTGTGTATTGGCCCATCCACTGCCAGTCTTTGTTCAAGCCTAATTTAATGGTGTCCAATTTGCAAATTAATTCCAATTCAACAGTCTCGCGTTGGAGTCTGTTTTTGAAGTTTTTTTTGTTGTAATATTGCGACTTTTAGGTCTGTAATCGAGTGGCCAGGGAGATTGAAGTGTTCTCCAACTGGTTTTTGAATGTTATAATTCTTGACGTCTGATTTGTGTCCATTTATTCTTTTACGTAGAGACTGTCTGGTTTGGCCAATGTACATGGCAGAGGGACATTGCTGGCACATGATGACATATATCACATTGGTAGATGTGCAGGTGAACAAGCCTCTGATAGTGTGGCTGATGTGATTAGGTCCTATGATGGTATCCCCTGAATAGATATGTGGACAGAGTTGGCAACGGGCTTTGTTGCAAGGATAGGTTCCTGGGTTAGTGTTTTTGTTGTGTGGTGTGTGGTTGCTGGTGAGTATTTGCTTCAAGTTTGGGGGCTGTCTGTAAGCAAGGACTGGCCTGTCTCCCAAGATCCGTGAGAGTGATGGATCGTCCTTCAGGATAGGTTGTAGATCCTTAATGATGCGCTGGAGAGGTTTTAGTTGGGGGCTGAAGGTGATGGCTAGTGGCGTTCTGTTACTTTCTTTGTTGGGCCTGTCCTGTAGTAGGTGTCTTCTGGGTACTCGTCTGGCTCTGTCGATCTGTTTTTTCACTTCAGCAGATAGGTATTGTAGTTGTAAGAACGCTTGATAGAGATCTTGTAGGTGTTTGTCTCTGTCTTCTTTTCCATGGGTCCAGATGATGAAGATGTCATCAATGTAGCGCAAGTAGAGTAGGGGCGTTAGGGGACGAGAGCTGAGGAAGCGTTGTTCTAAGTCTCTCCTGCTGATAAAAGCTCAACTTAACTGATCACTCTCCTTATAGTGTGTATAGTAGTAACACCCACTGTTTCATGTTCTCTGTGTATATATATATCTTCCTACTGTATTTTCCACTACATGCATCCGATGAAGTAGGCTGTAGCCCACGAAAGCTTATGCTCAAATAAATGTGTTAGTCTCTAAGGTGCCACAAGTACTCCTGGTTTTTTTGCGGATACAGACTAACACGGCTGCTACTCTGAAAACTATACAGTTAGGTTGATGTAAGCTGTCTTACATCGACCTAATTATGTCAGTGTCTACACTACAGCCTTCCTCCTGCCAATGTAAGTGCCCGACTACACCAACATAATAACTCTTCCTCCAAGAGAGGCGTCAGGCTTATGTCGGTGTAGTTAGGGTGACACAGTGTCTGTGTAGAAACTGTGTTCCTTACATGGATTGTTGGCTGTTTTGTCAATTTCATGGCAGAAGCTGTAAAATTGACAAGAAAATTGGGCAGCTAGAGTCCAGCTGCCCACCGCTCCCGTGGAGAGCAGGGTGGCTGGACCTCGCTCCCGGCTGGGAGCTTGGGTCAGAAGCCCAGTTGCCTTCCCCTCCGCCACTCGGAGCCAGGCAGCCTGGTGTCTGGCAGGGAGCAGGGTTGTGAAGCCAGGGCAGCTGGACCCTGCTCCCAAGGCCTTAGAAGCCCTGGGCGGCTTCCACTCCACTCCCGGTGGGGAACAGGGAAGCGAGAAGCCCCAGGCAGCTTTCCCTCAGCTCCCAGTGAGGTGAGAAGCCTCGGGTGGCTTCCCCCCTGCTCCTGGTGTGGAATGGGGATCAGAGGGGGATGGCAGCCCGTCGGGGGCCTGAGGAGCTGCCAGCAGAGCTGAGAGACTGCTCCCCACACTGTCCCTCTTAGGTCAGTGGAAGTGCTCCTGGTGAGGATGTGCCCCACCGACCCAAGGAGGGTAGCGTGGACATGCACCACCACAGTAATTACTGAAGTGGCTGTAGGTCGACCTAATATAGGCAGGCTTATGTTCTAGTCTTACATACCCTTTGTAACCTCTGTAACTCTTTCTTTTATGATTGACAATAGGTATTAATGTAAGAAATTCCTAAACTGTATTTCAGCAAACATCCCTACTCAGGGCTGGTCTACACAGCCGCGCTAGTTCGGCGGCTGGGGATCGAAGTTCCGAGTTCGATTTATTGCGTCTGGTCTGGACGCGATAAATCGAACCAGGAAGTGATCCCCGTCGACTGCAGTACTCCAGCTCAACGAGAGGAGTACCGCGGAGTCGACGGGGAGCCTGCCTGCCGCGTGTGGACTGCATCTGAACCGCGGTAAGTTCGAAGTAAGGTATGTCGAATTCAGCTACGTTATTCACGTAGCTGAATTTGCGTACCTTACTTCGACTTGGGGGGTAAGTGTAGACCAAGCCTTAGTCTAGAGCAACAGGATACTAAGTGAACAGTTTTAGTTCTGCTATGGAAGAAACATGATACTCACAAAACTGTGATAATCAGGGTAACTGCAGCACATGCACACACCCACAAATAGTCTTAATGCACATAAAGAACAGACCTTGAAACTAGACAACATATGACAACGAAGGACTGAATATAGTAGCGTCCTCCATCACCAGATGCTACCCATATTTTTTTTTCCCTCCAGATAATGGTAGGTATAAATAGTTTCACAAACTTTTTGGATCATTTTCAAAAGATGGCACAGTGGATGGGCTACAGTCCCTCCCTATACCCCTGTCATTACAGGCAAATAGCAATTTGTACTTCATTGTGTACCTGTCTGTATACAGAAATGTGGGGATTTGCAGGTGCACCCATTATGTGGTCCTCTGAAAATTTTCCCTTTAAATCTGAAACAACTTCCCATAACCCTATCTTGTGCTTGTCCTCCTTTAACTAATATGGGGTAAAGAATTTCTTCCTGATATAGAGAATCTCCAGCATTAAAGCGAGATCTATTTACAATCTGCACCAAATCCTCTCTGCGATATTCTTGACATTACTAAAAGTCCTGTGGTACAAACTAGAGAGAACATTACCTTGGAAGAACACACTTTCTGATGAATGCCACATAGTAAATCTGAGATGAGTTTCATTTTGTAAAATCACTTATAAGAATTTAAGGAGTTGATTGGTCTTTCAATTTCATGAAACTGTATTTCATGGAAGCACATATTCAGAAGGAACCATTAATGATCACTTGTCTGTGATCAGGCTTAGACTCACCAAAGCAGAATTTCAGGATCAAATTGTTAAATTACTCCCAAACAGCTAGAAATAATCGACTAGTAAATAACATAATTTTTCTGAACTTTATCTCTTTCTTGTAACATTCAAACAGTAGTTTTGAATTATCAGTAATTATTTTACAGAAGGAAAGGCCTCTTCCTATTATTATAGCTTTTGTTTCCACCCCTAACAGCTGCACTTCCTGGACTAAGAATTTACAGAAAATCTAGACCACAACTAGGACATAATGTCAGCAACGAGGCTGTGAATAAACAGCGTTTAGATGACACAAGTCCCTTGTAAAATAAAACATTACGAACAACATTTTCAACCATCTTTAAAGATTACTGCTATATTCTAACAGAATGACATTTCCAAACATTTTCATACATGAGGAAGGGGGAATATAAATAAAAAACAACTGAGTTCCCTTTCACACTTTACTGTAGAAAAAATCTGATCAGCTGGTCTAGTCTCTGGGTTGATCTGGACAACAATACAAAACTAATCCATAAACCTTAGTTCTTGAAGAAGTTCATTTACCAGCTTCACAGCCCTTTGGTTTTTTAATCCAAGTTGGTTAAACCTGTAGGCAGTACGTATAAGAAGGCCAAAAACTTCATTGGTTGTATTGCTTGCCAGTATCACCTGAAGGAAAAACAGAATGGAGGAAGAGAGGAAATAATCTCATTTAGATATATTACTCCAAGTGCAATAATTTCTAGCTGTGTACTACATGTTGTTTTCTTCTAGCTCCCCCCCAACCTCCCCTCCCATTTAGTCATAGGTATCATCTGAAAAGCAACTAAATTCCATAAAGCATGAAAATAAATTCCCTTCTGAGAAAGAAAGAAAGAAAGAAAGAAAGAAAGAAAGAAAGAAAGAAGTTAATGAAATCTCAGGACTAGATCTCAAAGTGTAACAGAAGAGCACTGAGTGCACTGGGGAAGAGTTTTATTCCACCTCTCTGGCCTGCTGATCCCTGAGGGCTGCTCCGCACTCTGCATCCCACTCTGGTTCCAACTCATGCCTCTCATATGTCCTCAGCCCACCCTGGAAAGCCCCCTATGCCAGGAGGGGGGAAATGTAGGAGGGACTGGCATAGCCTCCCCTATGCTAGCTCAGGACTCCCTTGCACTAGGGGAATTCTAAGCTGTTGCCTTAAGGCAATTTTAAATTCTCTTTGTGCTACTGGTTTAACAGGACCAAGGATCTTGTCTTCCATCTTTCAATAAAGGGTTGTTATAGCAGAATAAGGTGCTGCAGCCTAGCTGTTAAAGGGCTTCACTGATCTATAAAGGGCAGGCAGCACATAAGACTTAGAAAATAAATAGACCCAAATGAAAAGTTATGTATGCTTCCAAACAACTTTAAAATACAACATTTTAATGTTAATGAATAATCAAAGTCATTTTCTATAAAACACCCAAGTTTTCTAACATATCCTAGCAGTCCTTAAAGAAAGTAATGTTATATTTGTTTATTCCAACTAACAGCAACTAGGAGGAATAATCAACAATAATGTTCCAGTTCCACTCACTGCAAAAAGTTTTTTCTCATGTGTTACAGGCCTTATAAAAGATAAAAGGAGTACAGTACTTTGACACCGAGAGGAAGAATTTCCAGACAAAGTGCTAAAGCAAAACAATGATGTGAAGTTCTGGCCTGCTTGCATCAGAGGGTTTGGATTCTTATTGTAAAACATGACCTATAAATATATGTAACATATGTAGTAGCTAAATAACAATATAATAATAATCTAACATTTATGTAGCAAATTAATCTTAAAAGGATGTGGGAGACCGTATCAAAAGCTTTGCTAAAGTCAAGATATATCACATCCACCGCTTTCCCCATATGCACAGAGCCAGTTATCTCATCATAGAAGGCAATCAGGTTGGTCAGGCATGACTTGCCCTTGGTGAATCCATGTTGACTGTTCCTAATCACCTTCCTCTCCTCCAAGTGCTTTAAAATTGATTCCTTGAGGATCTGCTCCATGATTTTGCCGGGGACTGAAGTGAGGCTGACCGGTCTGTAGTTCTCCAGGTTCTCTTTCTTCCCTTTAATATGGGCACTATATTTGCCTTTTTCCAATCGTCCAGGACCTCCCCCAATCTCCACGAATTTTCAGAGATAATGGCCAATGGCTCTGCAATCACATCAGCCAACTCCCTCAGCACCCTTGGATGCATTAGATCTGGACCCATAGACTTGTGCATGTCCAGCTTTTCTAAATAGTTCTTAACTTGTTCTTTCACCACTGAGGGCTGCTCACCTCCTCCCCATACTGTGTTGCCCAGTGCAGCAGTCTGGGAGCTGACCTTGTCTGTGAAGACCGAGGCAAAAAAAGCATTGCGTACTTCAGCTTTTTCCACATCATCTGTCACTGGAAGTGACTGATGCCTGAGAGGGCAAAGTGTATACACTCTTAGGCTATGTCTACACTAGAGAGTTACAGCAGCACAGCTGAACCGATGCAGCTGCGCCACTGTAAGATCTTTCATGTAGCTGCTCTATGCTGAAGGGAGAGAACTCTCCTGTTGACATAATAAAACCACCCACAACGAGTGGTGGCAGCTATGTCAGTGGGAGAAGCTCTCCAGCCAACATAGCGCTATGCACACTACCACTTATACTAGCAAAAATTATGTCACTCGGGGTGTGTTTTTTCATAAGTTTTGCCGACGTAAGTGATAGTGTAGACATGGTCTAAATCTATAGAATGTAAGGTGTGAGGGAACTACATACACTCCTGTACTGTCAGCTACTACTCAAAACATTTCTGTGGCTCCATAGCTTAGGTAATGACTTCTCCAATGGGACTCTGTGGAAGCACTGTCAAGGAGGAGAATATTTTGGCTGTAATTCTTATTTAGGTTAGCATAATTTTCTTTAATTCTCTGTGATCAGCTTTTTCGTAAGAAGGAGAAATTTTCAACATGTGAATAATACAAAAAAAAGCTTGTTGAAAAACATGGAAACACTTACATGCGAAATAAACTCTTGGGCAATCTTGTGTCCACCAGAAGAAAAGAGCAAAAAATTAATCAGAAGATGCCTGACAAGGTGTTTGGTGCAAGGTTGCCGTTTATCTGTTTTAGTGCTAGCTGCAGCCTGCAGATCTGTGATGGAGAGGGTTGTACAGCTGAAGAGCATCATCAGACGATCATATACTGCTCGAGCTTCTACCTGTAGGGAACAATTTCAAAAGATAAAGGATCAGAGAAGAGTAAAAATTGTGTTTATGGAATTTTTTTTTTTTTTTTATGAGATTTGTTCACTAACAGACATCTGAATCCTTGGAAGAAAACCCAAAAATATGTCAAGAGCTTGAGTTTAAGAGGCACTGCAGAGAACAGGGAAGGAAGGGCAGTGCACATTTTGCTTACGGTGGTTCACACAAACATAAATGGACAAAATGGAAAATTCTTTACTTTCTTTGGTCTTGCAAACTAAAGCAGCCAAGGCATCGAGCCAAGTTTTGACCTTTTTTGTAATGAAAGGAAATGGAGAAAATCCCTCAGTAGAATGTAGTCAGATTTTTTACATTGTGGGAAAAAGAACAGAAGGCTCCTTGAAGGTTCACTTCAATATTGTAGCTACAAATCAATTAAACCCCCATGTAATCTGACCTCAATTGATAAAACATTCTGATAAGAATGACGGATTTTGGCTTCTTCCTGTATTACTTGCAACATGTTTATTTCCTCTGCCTCTTGGAGGAGCCAATATAAATGTACCGTCAAAACAGAGAATGAAGATTTTGGTATCCACATAATTGAAGTTGTTAGTTCATCATAAGCAGCTATTAAAAAACATATTTCATTGTAATTATACTGTTCATTACATAAAAGACAGGAAACATAAGGACAAAAGCAAAACATACCACCTAGGACTAAGGGGAGTAGGACACCAGCCCCACCAGTGTTCGTGAGTTCATTTTAGTTTTAGCTATTTGTTTCCTTGCACTTACTGATTTTTTTCACATTAACATTTCTATATATGCTAGCTTGAAAGAGTTTGCTTTACTGGAAAGGTAATTCCTCATTTAAGTCTGTCCCAGGATGCACTAGGGATGCTACATGGCACTAATGAGATCACAATAAAAGGTTATTGTTCCATTGAGATTGGATTGCCTTCAAACAAGTGCACCTGAATCTTACTCCTTCCCATTTCGCTACACCTGCACTGATTCCCCCATTCAACCATTCCTGAGCTGAATCAATAAGGAAGAGTGGCTACAATATATCTAGACCTTTTTAATGCTAAAAATATTTTGGATTTTAAATCATGCCTCACTACTCCATGATATTCAAAGCAGATGTTATGCTTTCAGCTTCCGTCTATGTTAATGTATGTCTGGTTGCAGTGTTTCAGTCTCTCCTTCCCGTCACCAGGTGCTAAAAAGTCCTCTTCTTCCTCCTCTCTGCTGAAATGACTACAGGCTCCCATACCTATCAGTCTTCATAGTCTTTTCTCTCTATGTTCTCATTCCCCTGTGCTAGGACTAAAGAAAAGAGGAGGGGGGAGGGGGGCAGATATTTTGACTGAGCAGTGGCAAGTTAGGAACAAGGTGGTGAAGAAACTACAACTCTAAAGTGCACTTTTGGGGAGCGATCAGGACTTTAATGAAACAGGAATAACAGTAAGAAGCACTAAGAAAGGGGGAAGGAAACAATAGACACTGGGATCCCTCTATGCATATGGAGTACTGTCGTTTCCCCACCACTCCCTGCCAGAAAACAAAACCAACAAATGAGTTAAACCAATTTGTCTCAACAGAAAGTGATTTTTTTCTATCATCAGACTGGTATTCTCATGGGAAATACATGAAAAACTTTGGAAAGAGACAAGGTCTTCCACTGAGATCAGATGTAATATCCATATCCAAAGGACTTGCATCCTAATTCAGTATTGCTTTCATTGTGATTTACAGAGAAGCCATTATCTTTTTCTACAGAAGTGTGCCAAGTCTGATTATTAAAAAAGTTAGCACCTTCTTCCCTGTAGAGGGGTCCGGACTCACCCCTGCGGCGCCTCCTGCTGGTCGTCCAGGGAATTAGCTCACCAGCCTCTGGAGCGCCCTCTGCAGGGCGGTGATCCGCCTTGTCCTCTGCACTGGCCCCCGTGTCCCTCCCAGGACCCCGGTGCCCCTTGCTCTGGGTGCTGCCCCCTGGCAATACCCACACATGCTAGGTCTCCCCTCCCAGGGGAACCCCCGCCCACTATCCCCACCTTGCCTCAGCACTAGGCCACTGCCAGTCACCAACTAGCCCCCGCTCCCTGGGGCAGACTGCAGTATAGGCCACTCATCACTGGCAAGGAGGGTTTGGACCTGCTGCCTTGGCCTAGCCCTGGGCTGCCCTCTGCAACCCCCAGTACCCCTTAGCCTATTACCAGGCCGCAGCCTGGGGCCATCCAGGCTGGAGCTCCCCAGCTCCTCAGCCTTTCCCCAGCCCTGCTCCACTCAGGTACTCTGTCTCAAGCTTGCTGCAGCCAGGCCCTTCTCCTTCTGAAGGCAGAGAGAGACTCTGAGTGCCTGGCTCCCAGCCTCTTATATAGGGCCAGCTGGGGCCTGATTGGGGCATGGCCCAGCTGTGGCTACTTCCCCAATCAGCCCAGTAGCTTTTCCCTTTGCCCCAGCCCTCTGCCAGGGCTGTTTTAAACCCCTCGGGCAGGAGCGGGGAAACCACCCCGCTACACTCCCATTTAAAAGGGATTTTTTTATGCTGAAGTATAAATCTTTAAAAACAAACATTTATAATGGAAGTATCAATTATCCTAACTATGACACTTGAGCACACCTTCTTATATTATTCAAAGTAAAATAAACACTATTTTTCCAAGTATAGTAACCAGAGTTATTAGTTAAATAGTGTCTTCTCATATCCAAACAAAATGTTCAAGATCCTTTTCAGAAACACAAAGAACTTTAATGCTGTGTGATAACTTGAAGTTTTAACTAACACCAAGAAAAGACTATCTGCTCAAGATCTGATTGTGCATTGTGCTACTTCCTCTTCACATGGGTCTGGCAAAGGGGCCATATGATGCAAAATTTAAACACTGGGGAATATCTGTGACAAAGGAGGATTCCCTGGGTTGGGTAGAACTGGGATAACAGCTGTGTACCACACATGCACCCACCGTCCATATGTAAGGATAGGGTGTGTGGTCAGAATGCGGCTGTACTCCAACTATTCCTGCCTGCTGCAATAGTCCCTACAGTCATAGGTAGCTAAGAGTAAATTAGTGCAGTTCTTAGGCTGCTTTAACTTACTCAGGGCATCCAATAGGTCCCATGCTGGCTCCAGAATAGGGAAGTGCAAAGCTAGCATAAGGCCCACCTTTGTCCTTCTCCCCTCTGTTCCTATGCTGAGTGGAATAGAGAACCAGACCTTTAGTGTTTAAAACAAAACTAAGTAACCATGGCACAAGTTAATATAAGAAAGACTGAATTACATCATCAGATCACTGCCTAGATTCTATGACAGGTGCAACAGAAATCAAATTAGATAGATAGTTAGATCAGATTCACTGCTGCTGAATGTGAATGAAGAATGCTGCACTGTTGTTATTATTAGTGCTCTCACTTTTAAAGCATGGCTGTCCTACAGGACTCTACGTCACAGGAGCTCTGAAATCTTGCCACACAGATTCAAAAGGAGCAGTTACAGGTGTACCAATCAAGCTGATTTGATACGGTCATATTTTTCAGAAGAAAAGTAAATAAAGGCATTCTGGCCTACAGTACACTTGACAAACCCAGTTTCTAAATGTTCACAGTTGAAAGAGCCACAAAAATTATCTTGGATCCCCTCTACTGCAGAATTTTACAATTCCAGGAGGACCCTGCAAACCCCAGCCGCTTTCAAACATAAATGCCTCAATTTTCAGGTATACAAATGGCTAAATACTCTCAGCCATGCCTACACCACCCACCAGAATTTGAGTCCTCTGCTCTTTATCATTGTGTGGATTGTAGTAAAACGCCAGCAGCCACAGAAAAGTATCTGCGGATTCATCTTCAGACTTCAGCAACTGCTCTACAGCGATATCAGCCCATTCTCCAAAATGAACAAACAAAAACCAGCTCTCAAAGAGGTCAGTGTAAGACCTGCAAAAGAATCAAAATACATTTCAGTTTTGTTGGCTATTCATGTTCTTGTGGGATGCAAAAAGGTTCCAAGCAGGGGTTCCCCATTGAGTGAAGATGCTGTTTAGTAAAGAATTGTGCAGTTCCCACTTGTGATCAGTGCTAAAGTGCATGCAGAGGTTGTCCACCCGTGAACTGTGAACAGCTGAGAGCTATACTGCTGACACAGTAATGTGGCTATGACACTTTCTTGAGGTGCCAGGACTGTAAGTCACTGTGTTACCCACCTGCCTCAGTGAGAGAGAGTCTTTGTTGTGGTAGGTGGGTGACAGCTCCCTGACACTACCAACCCTTCAGCACTCAGCCGCTACTTTGCTTTTCAGGTAAAACACTAGGTGTACCTCAGAACTCCTCAGAAGCATCCCCCCCTGTAGCCTCCAGCCTCTGTCACTGGACACACATAGTAATTTCCAGGCTCCCTACTCCCAAGGGCGCTCAAAGGAATAGTACATATACACCAACTTATAACAACACAGCACTGTAATCTATTTATAACAAAAGTTTATTAACAAATGTAGAGAATTAAGAGATAGTGAGCAAGAATAACAACAGGTTACAAATAAAACAAAAGTATAACAGGCTTCTACTAGACTAAGACTTACTTTTAACAGGCTACAAACCTTTGTCTAAAACAGTCTCTCAGTCTGAGCTTTTTCTGCAAAGCTTACTGGTTTTCAGTCAAACCAGGATCCACAACACTCATGAATCATTCTCCCCACACTCCCGCCCAGGTTTCTCAGTGAAATGGATAACAAAATATCCTTTTGCTTTTCCTTATATTTCCCAGAGTTCATTGTCTTTATTCCCAGAGTCAGAATAACTCTCCTCTGTAAAAAGCAACAGAGGGTCCTGTGGCACCTTTAAGACTAACAGAAGAAGTGAGGCTCTTACCCACGAAAGCTTATGCTCCCAATACTTCTGTTAGTCTTAAAGGTGCCACAGGACCTTCTGTTGCTTTTTACAGATTCAGACTAACACGGCTACCCCTCTGATACTTGTCTCCTCTGTAAAGGCAGTTTCCATTGTATTGACTTACAATGCTTCATTTACAAATGACTCTAGGTAGACAGATAAACTGACATTCCTTTTTCTAGGAAAAACTTGATAGTCAACCCTGCCTGGGATACAGATTCTGAAATATATTTTTCAATAAATACATACATACAACTTTCTATACAAATTCTTAAATATCATCCATACATACATCTCACAATGCTTATGTGTCACCAGTTTTCATTTGATACCTTACAAGATACTATTTATGGATAAAACCATGAAAACAGTGTATTAGGTGTAGTAAGTTTTTCAGGCTTAATAGGAGTTGCTGTTACAGAACAGTGAACCCTTTGCCAGTTGGCACTGAGGAGGTCTTAGGATCACAGTGGTGTTGGATGCACGAGTTCCATAAGTTAAACGTCTCCATGCATAGAAGGATGGATTTAGCACTCTCTGTTTGTTAATATAGAGCATGGTTGTTATGTTGTTGGACATTACTAGGATATGTCAGAATCATGAGTGGTATGAATGCTTTGCAGGCTTCCCAGACAGCTCTCAGCTCCAGGAGATTTATTTGCATTCTGGTCTCTCGAGGCATCCAGGTGCCTTATGCTGTGAGTCATCCATGTGGGCTCCCCAGTCCAGTTGGGAGGCATTTGTAACTAGCTTTTTCTCAGGTATGGGCGGGAAGAGGGGAACTTCCATGCATATGCGCTTGGGGTCTTTCCACCACATCAAGGGAGAATAATCACTATTGTGTACATACTGTCTTCTTGGCACATACACCACACAGCTCTTGCCCTGACTGAGTCTAGAGTCGCTCCCATGAATTCTATAGTTTGTGTCAGATTTAGGGTAGACTTGTTTATACCAATTCCCAGGGCCATTAGGAGATGGAGCAGCAATGATGTCAATGTCAAAACTTCTAGACAGGACCTTTCTGTCAGGAGCCAGTCATCTAGATATGGATGGCAACGGAGCCATTGCAACAGGCCTCTGCTGCTACTATTGCAAACTTCTTCGTAAATAGCCTGGGTGCTGCTAATAAGCCTAATGGAAGAACTCTTACTAATAGTGGTTGGGACCTGCCACTAACCTAAGGAAACACACATAGGGACCTGGATGGAGGGCCAAGTCAAGAAGAGGGAGCATCCTAAGTTTCAGAGAGGGAGAGAGAGAGCAGCAACAGAGTGTGCAGCATGCAGGAGAAGGGTGCCTCAGATCTGGAAGGAGCTAATCCCCAGAGTGGCTAGGAGGAGGTGCCCCTGGCAGTGAGTGGACCCTATCACAGGGTGTAATTAAAAGGTCTGATTTTCTGAAGTGCTCATTGACTTGAACTGTGGGTGCTTGAGACCTCTGAAAATCAGGTTCATAGTTTAGAAGGCCTCCTTATATCTGAGGATATCCTATTTTCCTATCCTTAAACAGAAGTTGTATTTGGGAACTAAGAAGAAAATGGCATCTAAAGATAACTAAAAATTAATCAACCAAGATTATGAACCACATGACTTTTCACGAAGTAATAGAAGAACAAGAAGAAATGATGAGGGATAGTCTAAGTATTTTTATTTACCTAATGCTTTTATCTTCTATTATTGCTTTAAGCATGTCAGTAATGTATTTCAGGTGTTGAGACCAGAGCGTAGCTGGCAAATCTGGAAAACAGTAAGAAGAAAAGTTGTACCTAATGAAACAGGCTAAAACAGAACAATATTTGGTACGGTATCAAGCTAGAACTAGAACTTGCTAGACACATGTTTCAGTCTTCAGTAATTGCTTCTCATTTTTAAACTTTCCCGTAGTTTTCAACCATATCTATAATAAATTACTTTATGTTCTTTGGTCAAAAATTCATTTGCAAAATACAGGACTAAAGTTCAGGCTATTCATCAAATTAGGCATAAGTGTGTGTGTGTGTGCGCGCGCATACATACACACACAGAGACACACAAACACACACAATATATATATATATTGTTTCTCATCAATACTAATCTAGTGTATCTCTGTTATCCCAGCCAAGTGCCCCGTCCTTAGCAGAAATTGCCAATCATGCAGGACTGTGTCACATGAAACATTATTTTTCTGATATGCATAAATAGAGACAAGGGAGATCAAACTTATTTTCATTTGTGACTTAACTGAAATCAGATTTCCAGATTTCAGAGAGGAGAAAGGCAACACAATGCATTAATACGTTTGCATATGGGAGTTTTCACAATAATCATTATTGAGCTTACAAGACGTGAACATTGAATACCTTTCCAGTCCTTGATAACTGTGTTTTAATTCCTAGCATTGGCTTTATTATATTGAAAATAATTTGCCTTCCTTCTATTACTCTGGTTTTGGTTTTAATTTTGTTTAAATCTATGCCATTGAATATAATAGTTACACAAAAACCTACATTAAAAGAACATTACAAAAGTGGCAAAGTCAAGCACTCAGAATTAAGGTAACCCTTGTGCATTATTTTTGAGGTTATGTATTGTGCAGAAAAATAAATGAAAATGCAGATTCCGTTAATGCTCCAAACAATTCAAGGCAGAACTTACCAAAAGGATGTTTGAGTAAGGCTATTACAAGATGCTGCTGCTGAGGAGGAAAGTAGGCCTTCAGAGGAAATTTATGCTAAAACAAAAGTCAATATTTTAAAAGAGCTTTGTGGTCAGCTTCCGAGAACATAAAACCGAAAGATATTATAGGTTCACCTAATGTAATAGCCACATACAATAACAGTGCTGTCTGGCATAAAGGAACACTTAATTAGTTTTAGACCTAACATTTAAGATTTTCTATGAAGAAGGAGGGAATAGAAAAGAGAGGGAAGGAGGCTTACAAAACCTAGCTATTTATGTTACTGGAATTATTTAACTTCAGTGAAAACAGGCTTTAGGGGATGGGGGAGTTTAAATCTAAATGTTCCCATCCAGTGTTTGTGAACACAAAAAGCAATTTTTTTCTAACGTATAGGAACCAGAAAGAGTAACTGACTAATGTAAAAAGAACAGGAGTACTTGTGGCACCTTAGAGACTAACAAATTTATTAGAGCATAAGCTTTCGTGGGCTACAACCCACTTCTTCGGATGCATCCGAAGAAGTGGGTTGT